GTGCCCATTGTTGATTGCTAATCACTATGTTTCAAGCCTAAGGTGCCATCTGTTGAACACTGACCACTATGTTGAAGCCCTAGGTTGCCATCTGTTAATGGCTGACCACTGTGTTGCAGGCCTAAGGTTCCTTCTGTTGATGCCTGCCTACTAAGGTGAAGCCCTTGCATACCATCTGTTTATGGCTGACCACTTTGTTGAAGCCCTTGAGTGTCCTCTGTTAATAGCTGAACACTATGTTGAAGCCCAAGGGTGCCTTCTGTTAATGGTTGACCACTTAATTGTAGGCCTAGGGTGCCCTATTTGGATGGCTTACCATTTTGTTGCAAGCCTAGGGTACTCTCTGTTGATGACTGACCACAATGTTGAAGCCCTAGGGTGCCCTCTGTTGATGGCTGACCACTATTTTGAAGCCATATGATGTCCTCTGTTGATCGCTGACCATTTTGTTTCAGACCTAATATCCCCTCTGTTGATGGCTGACCCCTATGTTGTAGGCCTAGGGTGCCCCCTGTTCATGGTTCACAACTATGTAGAAGCCCTAGGGTGCCCTATGTTGATGACTGATCACTATGTTGAAGCCCTAAGGTGTCCTCAGTTGATGGCTGACCACAATGTTGAAGCCCTAGGGTGCCGTTTGTTAATGGCTGACCACTATGTTGCAGGCCTAAGGTTCCTTCTGTTGATGCCTGCCTACTAAGGTGAAGCCCTTGCATACCCTCTGTTTATGGCTGACCACTTTGTTGAAGCCCTTGAGTGCCCTCTGTTAATGTCTGACCACTATGTTGGAGCTCAAGGGTGCCTTCTGTTGATGGTTGACCACTTAATTGTAGGCCTAGGGTGCCCTATTTGGATGGCTTACCATTTTGTTGCAAGCCTAGGGTACTCTCTGTTGATGACTGACCACAATGTTGAAGCCCTAGGGTGCCCTCTATTGATGGCTGACCACTATTTTGAAGCCATATGATGTCCTCTGTTGATCGCTGACCATTTTGTTTCAGACCTAATATCCCCTCTGTTGATGGCTGACCCCTATGTTGTAGGCCTAAGGTGTCCTCAGTCTGTGGCTGACCTCTTTGTTGTAGGCCTAGGGTGCCCCCTGTTCATGGCTCACAACTATGTTGAAGCCCTAGGGTGCCCTCTGTTGATAACTATCACAATGTTGCAGCCCTAGGGTGCCCTCTGTTGATAGCTGACCACTATGTTGCAACCCTAATCTGCCCTCTGTGGATGGCTGACCACTTTTTTGCAAGCCTAAGGTGCCCTCTGTTGGTGGCTGACCACAATGTTGAAGCCCTAGGGTGTCCTCTGTTGATGGCTTACCATTATGTTGTAGGCCTAAGCCTGAGGCCTAAGTCCTCTTTTGATCACTGACCACTATGTTGAAGCCTTAGGGTACCGATTGTTGACAGCTGACCACTTTGTTGCAGGCCTAATATGTCCTCTGTTGATGGCGAAGCACAATGTTGCAAACTTAAGGTTCCCTCTGTTGATGGTTGACCACTGTGATGAAACCCTAGGGTGCCCATTGTTGATTGCTGATCACTATGTTTCAAGTCTAAGGTGCCATCTGTTGAACACTGACCACTATGTTGAAGCCCTAGGTTGCCATCTGTTAATGGCTGACCACTGTGTTGCAGGCCTAAGATTCCTTCTGTTGATGCCTGCCTACTAAGGTGAAGCCCTTGCATATCATCTGTTTATGGCTGACCACTTTGTTGAAGCCCTAGGGTGCCTTCTGTTAATGGTTGACCACTTAATTGTAGGCCTAGGGTGCCCTATGTTGTAGGCCTAGGGTGCCCCCTGTTCATGGCTCAAAACTATGTTGAAGCCCTAGGGTGTCCTCTGTTGATGGCTTACCATTATGTTGTAGGCCTAAGCCTGAGGGCTAAGTCCTCTTTTGATCGCTGACCACTATGTTGATGCCTCTGTTGACGGCTTACCACTTTGTTGCAGGCTTAATATGTCCTCTGTTGATGGCGAAGCACAATGTTGCAAACTTCAGGTTCCCTCTGTTGATGGTTGACCACTGTGATGAAACCCTAGGGTGCCCATTGTTGATTGCTGATCACTATGTTTCAAGCCTAAGGTGCCATCTGTTGAACACTGACCACTATGTTGAAGCCCTAGGTTGCCATCTGTTAATGGCTGACCACTGTGTTGCAGGCCTAAGGTTCCTTCTGTTGATGCCTGCCTACTAAGGTGAAGCCCTTGCATACCATCTGTTTATGGCTGACCACTTTGTTGAAGCCCTTGAGTGCCCTCTGTTAATAGCTGACCACTATGTTGAAGCCCTAGGGTGCCTTCTGTTGATGGTTGACCACTTAATTGTAGGCCTAGGGTGCCCTATTTGGATGGCTTACCATTTTGTTGCAAGCCTAGGGTCCCCTCTGTACATGGCTCACCACTGTTGCAAGCCTAGGGTACTCTCTGTTGAACATTTGAAGTTGTTGAAGCCCTAGGGTGCCCTCTGTTGATGACTGACCACTATTTTGAAGCCATATGATGTCCTCTGTTGATCGCTGACCATTTTGTTTCAGACCTAATATCCCCTCTGTTGATGGCTGACCCCTATGTTGTAGGCCTAGGGTGCCCCCTGTTCATGGCTCAAAACTATGTTGAAGCCCTAGGGTGCCCTCTGTTGATGACTATCACAATGTTGTAGCCCTAGGGTGCCCTCTCTTGATAGCTGACCACTATGTTGCAACTCTAATCTGCCCTCTGCGGATGGCTGACCACTGTGTTGCAGGCCTAAGATTCCTTCTGTTGATGCCTGCCTACTAAGGTGAAGCCCATGCATACCATCTGTTTATGGCTGACCAATTTGTTGAAGCCCTTGAGTGCCCTCTGTTATATATGTTATTTATATTGTTACCATTTTGGGACTAAAAATAGTGAAAAAACTTCATTAGGTAACCCTAGTGAACACCCTTCATTAAGTTACTCTACTGAACACACTTCATTAAGTAACTCTACTGAACACACTTCATTAAGTCACCCTACTGAACACACTTCATTAAGTCACCCTACTGAACACACTTCATTAAGTAACTCTACTGAACACACTTCATTAAGTCACTCTACTGAACACACTTCATTAAGTAACTCTACTGAACACCCTTCATTAAGTCACCCTACTGAACACACTTCATTAAGTAACTCTACTGAACACACTTCATTAAGTTACTCTACTGAACACACTTCATTAAGTTACTCTACTGAACACCCTTCATTAAGTAATTCTACTGAACACACTTCATTAAGTCACCCTACTGAACAAACTTCATTAAGTCACTCTACTGAACACACTTCATTAAGTAATTCTACTGAACACACTTCATTAAGTCACCCTACTGAACAAACTTCATTAAGTCACCCTACTGAACACACTTCATTAAGTCACCCTACTGAACAAACTTCATTAAGTTACTCTACTGAACACACTTCATGAAGTTACTCTACTGAACACCCTTCATTAAGTAACTCTACTGAACACCCTTCATTAAGTTACTCTACTGAACACACTTCATTAAGTAATTCTACTGAACACCCTTCATTAAGTTACTCTACTGAACACACTTCATTAAGTAATTCTACTGAACACCCTTCATTAAGTAACTCTACTGAACACCCTTCATTAAGTCACCCTACTGAACAAACTTCATTAAGTTACTCTACTGAACACACTTCATTAAGTTACTCTACTGAACACACTTCATTAGATAACCAACTGAACACCCCTCATTAAGTTACTCTAATGAACACCCCTTATTAAGTTACCCTACTGAACACCCTTCATTAAGTAATTCTACTGAACACACTTCATTAAGTTACTCTACTGAACACCCTTCATTAAGTTACTCTACTGAACACCCTTCATTAATTAATTCTACTGAACACACTTCATTAAGTTACTCTACTGAACACCCTTCATTAAGTAATTCTACTGAACACACTTCATTAAGTTACTCTACTGAACACCCTTCATTAAGTCACCCTACTGAACACACTTCATTAAGTCACCCTACTGAACACTCTTCATTAAGTAATTCTACTGAACACACTTCATTAAGTTACTCTACTGAACACCCTTCATTAAGTCACCCTACTGAACACACTTCATTAAGTTACTCTACTGAACACCCCTCATTAAGTTACTCTAATGAACACCCTTCATTAAGTTACTCTACTGAACACACTTCATTAAGTAATTCTACTGAACACACTTCATTAAGTTACTCTACTGAACACCCTTCATTAAGTTACTCTACTGAACACACTTCATTAAGTCACTCTACTGAACACCCTTCATTAAGTCACTCTACTGAACACACTTCATTAAGTTACTCTACTGAACACCCTTCATTAGGTAACTCTACTGAACGCCCTTCATTAAGTTACTCTACTGAACACCCTTCATTAAGTTACTCTACTGAACACACTTCATTAGGTAACATTACTGAACACCCTTCATTAAGTAATTCTACTGAACACACTTCATTAGGTAACATTACTGAACACCCTTCATTAAGTAATTCTACTGAACACACTTCATTAAGTCACCCTACTGAACATTCTTCATTAGGTAACCCTATTGAATAACCTTCATTAGGTAACATTTCTAAACACCCTTCATTAAGTTACCCTACTGAACAGCCTTTATGATATAATGTTATTGAACACCTTCATTGTGTAACTCTACTGTACACCCTTTATCTTGACAAATATATCTACTACCAGACATAAGTGAAATTTGTTAAAATTACCTCAGATAATGTCAAGGAATCCTGCTTTTCCTGTGAGATTCAACCAGAACCTCTTGGTGCCTATGTATAATCATACTCTACAAAATTTAGAAGTTGTTTTTCCTGTTATGTATGATGTCTATTTTTGATTAAAACTGCTGCATCTGGATGATTTATTCTGACATGGCTTGAGACAGTATAAGCTCTGCAATTACATCTGTTGTAAACTGATGAAATCTCTCTTAATTAATATAGGTAATTAGATAATATGTTTCCATGAATCATGGATGTGGTACCTCAGACTCCATACCAGAGACTTGCACTCCTGAGAAATGATCCACAGTTGCGTTTGAACAGCTATTTGAACTGGCCACCTTCTGCCCATGTGACCCCACAGGATTTGTGTGAGGATGGGTTTTACTATACTGGTCTGGAAGACCGAGTACAGTGTACTCACTGTGGAGGTACACTCAGTCACTGGGAACCTGGAGACATTGTTGCCAATGAACACAGCACACATTTCCCACAGTGTCCATGGGTAGTTTCCAGACGCAACAACCCTCTGTTTCGATCCACAACACAGCAGTGTGGTTTTCCCAACATCAGTGACAGTGGATTTGCTTTTGGACATCAAAGGAGTTCTCCTGGTGTCCCTCTCCAGTACCAGGCATCGTCACATCCAGGGGATGTTCCAGGCACCAACCGACCGAAATACTCAGAATATGCATTAGAAAGTAATCGACTCACAACTTTTAAAGGCTGGCCTTCTCAGCTCAGTCAGAAACCGGCAGCGCTGGCTAAGGGAGGACTCTTTTACCTTGGTAAGAAAACAGAAAAAAGGATCCACTTTCAGTTATATAATGGTATAAATTGTATGTCAACTCTTTTTGGTCTCAGATAAAGAGAAATGCAACTTAAATTAAGCATTTAACTCAGATAACCTAATTTCATTTTGTAATCATTGTATTGTGTGATTTTTCAGATATGAGATGTGATACTAGAATATTGATGCACTCAGTCTGGTATTACAGGCAGAGTGACTTCATGCATGTTTTTCCCTCAAATGCCCTTGTTGTTGGCCTAATTCTATGAGGTGTTGATAGTTTGTTGATTTATTACAGGGCAGGGTGACCGCTGTAAGTGTTTCTACTGTGGCGGAATTCTCTATGACTGGGACATTGGAGATGATATCTGGACAGAGCATGCCAAGTGGATTTCTAAATCAGACACACATTGTAATTTTGATTTGTAAATCTGACACATATTGGCTTTTCATTCCTTAATTAGACATACATTGGACTTTTCATCTGTAAATCTGACATACATTGGAATTTTCATCTCTAAATCTGACATACATTGGACTTTTCATCTCTAAATCTGACTTACATAGGACTTTTCACCTCCAAATTTGACATACATGTATTTTCATTTATAAATCTGACTTACATTGGATTTTTACATCCCTCAATGTGACATACATTAGACTTTTCATCTCTAAATCAGACAAACATTGGACTTTTCATATCCAAATCTGACATACATTGGACTTTTCATCTCTAAATCTGACATACATTGGACTTTTCATCTCTAAATCTGACTTACATAGGACTTTTCATCTCCAAATCTGACATCAATGTGTTTTCATCTACAAATCTGACATACATTGGACTTTTCATCTCTAAATCTGACATACATTGGACTTTTCATCTCCAAATCTGACATACATTGGACTTTTTGTCTCTAAATCTGACTTACATAGGACTTTTCATCTCCAAATCTTACATACATTGGACTTTTCATCGCCAAATCTGACATACATTGGACTTTTCATCTCCAAATCTGACATACATTGGACTTTTCATCTCTAAATCTGACATACATGTATGTTCATTTCTAAATCAGACTTACATTGGACTTTTCATCTCCAAATCTGACACACATTGGACTTTTCATTTCCAAATCTGACATACATGTATGTTCATTTCTAAATACGACTTACATTGGACTTTTCATCTCCAGATCTGACATACATTGGACTTTTCATCTCCAAATCTGACATACATTGGACTTTTCACATACATTGGACTTTTCATCTCAAATCTGACATACATTTTTCATCTCTAAATCTGACATACATTGGACTTTTCATCTCCAAATCTGACATACATTGGACTTTTCATCTCTAAATCTGACATACATTGGACTTTTCATCTCCAAATCTGACATACATTGGACTTTTCATTGAACTTTTTTCATCTCCAAATCTGACATACATTGGACTTTTCATCTCCAAATCTGACATACATTGAACTTTTCATCTCCAGATCTGACATACATTGGACTTTTCATCTGCAAATCTGACATACATTGGACTTTTTTTCTCTAAATTTTACATACATTGGACTTTTTTTCTCCAAATCTGAAATAAATTGGACTTTTCGTTTCTCAATCAGACAAACATTGGACTTTTCATCTACAAATCTGACATACATTGAACTTTTCATCTCCAAATCTGACATACATTGGACTTTTCATCTCCAAATCCGACATACATTGAACTTTTAATCTCCAAATCTGACATACATTGGACTTTTCATCTCCAGATCTGACATACATGTATGTTCATTTCTAAATCAAACTTACATTGGACTTTTCATCTCTAAAACTGACATACATGTATGTTCATTTCTAAATCTGACTTACATTGGACTTTTCATCTCCAAATCTGACATACATTGGAATTTTCATCTCCAGATCTGACATACATTGGACTATTCATCTCCAAATCTGCCATACATTGGACTTTTCATCTACAAATCTGACATACATTGGACTTTTTGTCTCTAAATCTGACATATATTGGACTTTTCATCTCCAAATCTGACACACATTGGACTTTTCATCTCCAAATCTGACATACATTGGACTTTTCATCTCCAAATCTGACATCAATGTGTTTTCATCTACAAATCTGACATACATTGGACTTTTCATCTCTAAATCTGACATACATTGAACTTTTCATCCCCAAATCTGACATACATTGGACTTTTTGTCTCTAAATCTGACTTACATAGGACTTTTCATCTCCAAATCTTACATACATTGGACTTTTCATCTCCAAATCTGAAATAAATTGGACTTTTCGTTTCTCAATCAGACAAACATTGGACTTTTCATCTCCAAATCTGACATATATTGAACTTTTCATCTCCAAATCTGACATACATTGGACTTTTCATCTCCAAATCTGACATACATTGGACTTTTCATCTCCAAATCTGACATACATTGGACTTTTAATCTCCAAAATCTGACATACATTGGACTTTTCTCTAAATCTTTACATACATTGGACTTTTTCTCCAAATCACATACATTGGACTTTTCATTTGGACTTTTCATCTCTAAATCTGACATACATTGGACTTTTCATCTCCAAATCTGACATACATTGGACTTTTCATCTCCAAATCTGACATACATTGGACTTTTCATCTCCAAATCTTACATACATTGGACTTTTCATCTCCAAATCTGACATATATTGAACTTTTCATCTCCAAATCTGACATACATTGGACTTTTCATCTCTAAATCTGACATACATTGGACTTTTCATCTCCAAATCTGACATACATTGGACTTTTCATCTCCAAATCTGAAATAAATTGGACTTTTCGTATCTCAATCATATGACAAAATTACATTGGACTTTTTATCTCCAAATCTGACATACATGTATGTTCATTTCTAAATCTGACTTACATTGGACTTTTCATCTCCAAATCTGACATACATTGGAATTTTCATCTCCAAATCCGACATACATTGAACTTTTAATCTCCAAATCTGACATACATTGGACTTTTCATCTCTACAATTGGACTTTTCTGACATACATTGGACTTTTCATCTCCAAATCTGACATACATTGGACTTTTCATCTCCAAATCTGACATACATTGGACTTTTCATCTCTAAATCTGACATACATTGGACTTTTCATCTCCATATCTGACATACATTGGACTTTTCATCTCCAAATCTGACATACATTGGACTTTTCATCTCTAAATCTGACATACATTGGACTTTTCATCTCCAAATCTGACATACATTGGACTTTTCATCTCCAAATCTGACATACATTGGACTTTTCCTCTCTAAATCTGACATACATTGGACTTTTCATCTCCAAATCTGACATACATTGGACTTTTCATCTCCAAATCTGACATACATTGGACTTTTCATCTCCAAATCTGACATACATTGGACTTTTCATCTCCAAATCTGACATACATTGGACTTTTCATCTCTACATTGGACAAATCTGACATACATTGGACTTTTCATCTCTCAATCTGACATACATTGGACTTTTCATCTACAAATCTGACATACATTGAACTTTTCATCTCCAAATCCGACATACATTGAACTTTTCATCTCCAAATCTGACATACATTGAACTTTTCATCTCCAGATCTGACATACATTGGACTTTTCATCTGACCATTGGATTTTGAAATCTGACATACATGTATGTTCATTTCTAAATCAGACTTACATTGGACTTTTCATCTCTAAATTGACATACATTGTTTTTCATCTCTAAATCTGACATACATTGGACTTTTCATCTCCAAATCTGACATACATTGGACTTTTCATCTCCAAATCTGACATACATTGGACTTTTCATCTCCAAATCTGACATACATTGGACTTTTCATCTACAAATCTGACATACATTGGACTTTTTGTCTCTAAATCTGACATCTATTGGACTTTTCATCTCCAAATCTGACACACATTGGACTTTTTATCTCCAAATCTGACATACATTGGACTTTTCATCTCCAAATCTGACATCAATGTGTTTTCATCTACAAATCTGACATACATTGAACTTTTCATCCCCAAATCTGACATACATTGGACTTTTTGTCTCTAAATCTGACTTACATAGGACTTTTCATCTCCAAATCTGAAATAAATTGGACTTTTCGTTTCTCAATCAGACAAACATTGGACTTTTCATCTCCAAATCTGACATATATTGAACTTTTCATCTCATCTCTAAATCTGACATACATTGAACTTTTCATCTCCAAATCTGACATATATTGAACTTTTCATCTCCAAATCTGACATACGTTGGACTTTTCATCTCTAAATCTGTCATCATTGACATCTGACATACATTGGACTTTTCATCTCTCTGACATACATTGGACTTTTCATCTGAAATACATACATTGGACTTTTCATCTCCAAATCTGACATACATTTTTTCACTCAAATCTGACATACATTGGACTTTTCATCTCCAAATCTGACATACATTGGACTTTTACATCTTTTCATCTCAAATCTGACATACATTGGACTTTTCATCTCCAAATCTGACATACATTGTATTTTCATCCCCAAATCTGACATAACATTTGACTTTTTTTCTCTAAATCTGACTTACATAGGACTTTTCATCTCCAAATCTTACATACATTGGACTTTTCATCTACAAATCTGACATACATTGAACTTTTCATCTCCAAATCTGACATACATTGGACTTTTCATCTCCAAATGTGACTAACATTGGACTTTTCATCTCCAAATCTGACATACGTTGGACTTTTCATCTCTAAATCTGTCATACATTGGACTTTTTGTCTCCAAATCTGACATACATTGGACTTTTCATTTCCAAATCTGACATACATTGTTCATTTCTAAATACGACTTTTCATCTCCAGATCTGACATAGATTGGACTTTTCATCTGCAAATCTGACATACATTGGACTTTTTTTCTCTAAATTTTACATACATTGGACTTTTTTTCTCCAAATCTGAAATAAATTGGACTTTTCGTTTCTCAATCAGACAAACATTGGACTTTTCATCTACAAATCTGACATACATTGAACTTTTCATCTCCAAATCTGACATACATTGGACTTTTCATCTCCAAATCCGACATACATTGAACTTTTAATCTCCAAATCTGACATACATTGGACTTTTCATCTCCAGATCTGACATACATGTATGTTCATTTCTAAATCAGACTTACATTGGACTTTTCATCTCTAAAACTGACATACATGTATGTTCATTTCTAAATCTGACTTACATTGGACTTTTCATCTCCAAATCTGACATACATTGGAATTTTCATCTCCAGATCTGACATACATTGGACTATTCATCTCCAAATCTGCCATACATTGGACTTTTCATC